TTTTTTATGAGGTATTTTCGTGGGAATTTCCATCTTAAAATAGTTGGTTTCACCAAAGTGCATTAATGGATACAGAATTCAACATTCAAACGATGACTAATGCGAGTTTGTCCACTGACTAATGATATATATACTTATCTATTGGTTCTTTGTTCATAAGCACTTATCTTATTGGAGGAAAAAAAGATTGACTTTTTCTATTTAATGAAGAATTATAACATTTGTGTATAGTCCAATATTTTCGCAGACAGATGTTTCTTTTTTTTTTCTTCGATTATTTATTTCTATGTTAATGTGATCGATAGAGCATTTTACATCACATATAAATAGAAAAAGACATTCATTCAGAAAAAAGAAAAAGGAAAAACAATCAAGTATCAAATATTTGACTCTATTTGTCTAATAATGATTATTTTTTAATAAATCATAAAATGCCGTGGTAGAATATTCTTCTATTACTGCAAGGAAAAAACAAAAAAAAAGTTTTTTTGGCAAATGTAAAAGTGAAAATCCTGGACCTAGTAAGACTTTCATAGTTCTATATTGTATTGCATATTTAGAGAACAATGTAAAATGTTGGAAATACTTGTACTATTATCCATATAATGGGAAGTGATCGCATCATAAAGCTCTTCGAAAGTTAAATAGAGTTTTTCACTATTATTTTAATAGAAAATTCGAAAGACTTTTATCATTGGACTTTATAGCAAAGTGTATATGAAAATTTATGAATAATACATTCATTTTTGTTTTAGTATTAGTATATTGAAATATTGCACTATGGCACAATCCCTCGATATAGTCGTTTTTTTTTTGAAAAGAATCGAAAAAAGTTTGTTGAGATAGTTTATAAATAGTTAATGATTTGAAAACATCTTTTAATTGATACCGATGTCTTTGTCAATCAATTCATCTTTTATTATCCTAATTATCATATTCTTCTGCAAGAAAAACAACAAAAACAGTTGTTATTCGATGTTTTCAGTTACATAGCCGCAATCAAATGGAGAAAATGTTATGGTGACAAAACAAAAAAGATACGCTCTTTGTGGGAATCGAACTACGCACTTTATGCTATCCTGGCAGATCTTCTAAGCTAATTAGGCTAGAAAAGACACTATCCTCTTTCGTCTTAGATCGTCATATCTAACATTTTCTTTCACAATTTTCAAAAACATCTAATTCTCAAAGAATACGTCCTTTAATGTGTATTTCTTCATATAATTCTCTATGTGCTACATTAAATGTACTTTTATTTAGTTCAATTCTACTGTCTGGTATAATCCATGACGATTTATCATGATAAGATGTTTTTAATAATATCTTTTTTTAAATATATAATAAAAAAAAAAGATTGCCGCTTGAGAAAATAAATGTCTTTATTTTACAAC